TGAGGCAACTTGCCCTAATTATTCAAGGTAATGTAGTTTCAACCATATATTTCTCAACAAGAAAGATTTACATGCCAAACATTCACCTGGATGTGAATCTCCCTGACAGAAAAGGCACAGTGATGCATGTCAACCAGGGAAGTGAAGCCACTTCAAGTCAAGCAGAGTTACAACTATAGCAGCTGGCATATGGTGCCTGTACAGAAGGGGTGTCTTCCTCCTTGGGGATGGTAGGAGTGATGGGGTTTGGACAGAAAGCATCCAAATTACACAATTACTCAAAATAAAGACAAATAATGTCTCCCAACTACCTCTAAAATGAAAAATTCAAGCTAGAATGGCATGTCTGTCACAGCAGTAAGATTTAAGAGAAGGTCACAGCTCCTCTACCCTTTCTGCTTTGCAATGAGGAAGATAAGGATGTATGCATGATCCTATAAAACATAGCTTTTAAAAAAACCCAGGCACATGATCACTTATAGGAGGGGCCCACTCAAAGAAGTAGCTTCCACTCTCCAGAAACACAGTAAAAATTGACTTCTATAAAAACAGGAAAAAAGCAAAAATAAGAGTTAAGGTCTAATGCACAGGGATAAAATGCAACTGCCTGAAACTTTCATTGACAGATATTAATGGGCTTTTGCAGAAGTAAATATTGTTAATTCTATCTTCAAGATGTGATAAGTGAAGCAAAAGGTTTAGATAATTTACCTAAGTCAAGAATCAGGAAGAAAGCCAATCTTCCAGCTCCAAGCCCTGTCCCCTCCCCTCTTTATCAGGCCTTCTGACAGCTTATACATTTTTTAAGCCTTTTTAAAGAGCTACAAAGCATTTATTTCTGCAACTGCTCCCCACAGATTTCCTATTAGCATCAGTGACAATTCCATACATGGAGTGGTTATAACACTGGGGAGCAAACTGGATGCGTGCACTTTTTATGGAATACAAATTATCTCTTTAGCTTATATAAGGCATCAAGAAATGTTATATCAACAAAAAAGTTTCCAACTAAGTTTCCAGGATGGATTTCTAAATTATCTTTAAGAGTTTCCAAGACACTGTTAATAAAAAAAAAAGAATAAGAAATTAGCATGTTTCACTAGAAATGAAATATTCCCAATGTAGTGAATGTTAACAGATTGGTTTTCATAAATCTTTTCTAAAGTACATAATTCTGGCGATTAATCTCCATGTTTCTTTTGATGAGGATCATTCTTTAGATTCAGCACAGCTGTGAAGCAGGTAACAGGAAACAAAAAGAAAACAGAAAAAGAAAAAGCCACAAAATAAGCAAAACCTTCTTAGGAGGAGAAAAAAAAACATGGATGTCAACAAAACAGAAAAAAGCAAGGAGCACATAGGTAAGGGAAAACAGTATTCTTAGTAGTGTGTGACGGTGTGTGCCCAATATCTGTTCTGTCCGCTGAGAAGTGTGGGCACTGTCTCTGAAAAGACACAATCAGACTTTTCCTGTTTAAAACACTATGGTTTACCTCTCCTTGTCTCCTCTTGCAATAGCTTCTATACTTAGGTTATGGAGAGATGGATCCTTACAAGAATGGCTGGATACCAAAGTACTTTAAAACACAACATTAATACACAAACAATATACAGGGACCACCTGGTCCATATGAGAAATGCAGTCACCTCTAGTCCAAAACAGGACAACTTTTTAGCAGAACAAACCAATAAAACCATATCCTATTGAAAATACAGAGGAACACTAAACTAACTATAACTACTCAGACCAAATTCACTCGAAACGCAGCTCCTCTTCTGAAACTGTGTCCCAGAGTTTCATTTAAATATAAGCAGTTAGACTTCTAACGATCTCATCTGAAAGATGTAGCAGTTTCCTTAGTACTTATAAGGGGGCACTGGTCCAGTGTTGACTTATTAAATGGGTACTAATCTAGAGATATACTAGGAGTATTTATCTCAGTATCTGGAGGTTTTCTTCCAGTAGGTCTCCTGTCTGCTAATCCAAGTTACAAGATCTAACAAAATCACCGGTCCAAGTGTTTTGGCTATCGGCTACTATTATCAGCTGATTCTTCACAGCTGGGCAAGAAATGTTAACACAACCTACTCCACCTGCAGGCATATCAGATAATAGCATAATTCACTTAACTGCTTCACCACACCTGTCCCAGCTCTTTGCCTATTGCTTAGATTATAACAAGTATCAGTTAAATGTATGAGCTGTGTAAGGACATAGTATCTTTTGGTCATGTAACAGGGCCCCTTTTGGTCAACATTATAAGGAAGGGCAAAAGGGCCTTTAAGAGGGACACCACACCTGGGAGGTACTGCTCTGATAGGCATATAAAAGAAGAGCCCCCAACAGTAAAAGGCAGAAATGTATCAGTAGTAGAGGAAAGAAGAGGTCCTGCAAGAGAAGGGTACCTGCAGGAAACTGCTAATGTGAATAGACTTGGAGAAGGGCTGAATGGGATAAGAAATACACTAAGGCAAAGTAGGCCAGAAAGACTGGTCTAGTAAAAGCTTATTAGAGGAAGTATAAAGGGGTCTAAGGAGAGAGTAGTGCTGGAAAAGACCCAGCAGAAACCAAGTAGGGATAATAAGTAGAATGAATCTTGAAAGGACTGATGGCAAACCTAAAGGAGGCTGTAAGGGATGGTGCAGGTGTTAGGAAGTCATAGGAGCCTGCATGCTTGTTGTGAAAGGTGCTGTGCTCCTGTGAGCAAGTTTTGCTCTTCTCCAGTGACCTGTTCACTGATTTAACATCTAGATGTGGCAGCCAAGTCAAGTAGGAAAGTTGAAAGAGACCTGTCTTGTGTATGGCCCAGAAGAACTGCTTGAACCTGAGAAACTGGGGCTTTGGTGAGTGATCACAGGCCTTAATTATTTACTTTTTAATATATAATAGTACTATGCTTAGTTGCATGCTTTTACTGGAAAAGAGCAGCAAGTGTCAAATGGTCTATTATTAAAAGCCCTGAAAAACGAAGGGATGTAAGCCTGGCCAGTGGCTGACTTAGTTCACTTTCAAGGTTTCTGATGACATTCTCTCTCCCCTCTCCCCCCCCCCCCCGCCTCTCAAGCCTTGCCCTCTCATCTGAATAAGTTTGTTATCTCTTTCACCTCCAAAGCTACATGGTTAAATAGGGTATAGTTTTATCTTCTGGTGCTGTGTCCAAAAAAAACGGAACGAGGTGGAAGGATGCGAGGTAAGAAAGTGTTTTGTGTTCACTTGAACAAAGTCTCTTGATCATTCTTAAGATCTGTGCAACTTCTGACAAAGGTGTTTATTCTTGCAAACAGTATCATATTAGCTTTCTCTTTGTTATCCAAATGCATGTTTACAACAGCAGTTACTGCCTTGTAAGTAATCTGGTGATGGATCCAAATGTATGTAAATAGAGATTATTTTTATTTTGCTAGCAGTTGTCAAAGCTAGAGCTGTGCTGAGTGTCTTTCTTTCACTTATGCCTTAATAGCCAGTATTGTTCCTCTCGGAAGATCCTGGTAAAGGAGTTAGTCATAGACTGGCTGGTATACTCTCTTATCTCAAGCACTCTGCATCATTGCCTTAAAATTATCCCATGAGGCAAAAACTGGTCTCGCCTTTCTGAACAGGGACAGTATGGTCTGCTCCCTCCAGACCTGTGTCCAAACACAGAATGAATGCTCTTGTCAAATGGAGACTGCATTGGGGCAGAGTGTGGTACTATACTGTTCCAGCAGAGGGAGTCTGAACTCCAAGGAGGTCATCCCACAGCAAGGGTAAAGCTGTTTGAGCAAATCTAGCCACTGAGAGCAAAAAGAAATCTCCCATGAAGAGGTTGCCCAGGCATAAACAAATGAACTCAGTTTTATGAAACAAAAAAGCTAACACTTGTGCAATGACTGGGCGAATAAATAAGCAACTGCCAGATCCTGAGACAAAAACACTTGTCCATATACTCAGAGGGATGAACTACTAGCACTCACAATTTCTTGTTCTCAGCTTGCTTAACAAGTGCATAGATCACCCACATCACAGGATTGCCAGACCTAACAGGAGACCAGCCTGAAACCTAATATACTCCCTTTTAAATCCCCAGTCTCCAGATTGGGGAAAGAAATGGGACCCTGTAGTGACTCAAACTTGGTGTAATGAGTGCTCATTAACCACAGGGACAGTCTGCAATAAATTTTGTACCTCATTAAAATTGGTTACCTCATTTCTCAGAGGGTTTTATGCCTCTGTTAGTCTAGAAATTAATCGGCCCTGCTCAGTGCCTGACTGCCACAGAAGCACTGAAATGGATGGCTAATAGTTGGGTTCACCAATTAAGCATTTAAATGGTGTTCACTCATAACACAATGCAGACAGTAGAGCCAAAGGGCTTCCATGCATTTCAGCAGTTGATTCATCTGCACATAGGTTTAGTTTATCATGAAATCAATACCCAAAAGTTTGAGACCAAGATGGTGTAATAGTGATGAAAATTCTGATCTACCCAATATGCACAGCAGTGGAATATGCTGTATTGGCAAACAATGTCATAAATGAGCAACTGCAGGCTTTTAAAAAGAAATATTATGTTCCTTAGTACCAGTGAGCCATGGGACAATAAAGAGCAAAAAAAGAAATCTAGTCCTACTACTGCAACCACCCTCTTGGGCAAGGACCTGCTTAAATCTAACTAACTGTACATAAATAATCTAGGTAGCAGAGCTGCTGTTTAAACAGCACAACTTGGGACATGTCCAAAGATGCTGCAGACCTAGGAAAACCTTGTAATAGAATGCAACTTGTACTAATCCATAACACTTCATGAGTCCAAGGGTCTGTAGGTATTAACTAGCATCTGGAAGAGTAACCAACTGGTTGATTTATCACTCTCTGAACTTTTCACTTTTTAAACAGTAAAGTAACTTGCTGTACTTTTGTTCTTCACATTTAACTTGTCCAAAATCAGTACCACAGCTACTGTTTAAAACCTGACGACACCCAAATTTAGCCATCAAATATTAGCAACAATGCAACTAACCTTAGACCTTGAACCAAACAACAGGCAATCTGTTCTTCTTACTATCTTCAACCATGTATGGGCACTGATTAATGAAAAACCTTCCTAAAATCAAGCAAGAAAAAAAGCAAGTGGTAATTTTTATTATTTTTTATCCCCCCCGCCCCTTTGAAAAAAACAAACTTTAAAGCAAAGGACACACAGTTAGGCAAGCTATTAAATGGGCTGATCCATGATTTCTAAAATACTATATGTATTTTAAGACTAAATTAATTCATATACATTAGAACTACTTGAAAAACATGATCTATTATAACACGTTGTTAATAATAGAACAGTTGCATGCAAGATCTAAATATTCAGGATTTTAGTTGCCATAGTATGAATTTGAAATACAACTACAGTAGAGCCAGTATGGTGAAAATAAAGTTAAGCATATTTCACAGATAATATGTGGTGACTGGCACTTTGACATGTACCATATAATGCCTTCAACAAAAAGCTTTGAACTCCACTCTAAAATCCTATGAAGTAGCCTAAGAGGGCACGCAAGCCTTGAAAATACAATACCAGTTGGCTCATCTTGGGTTAAATGAGATGCATCATAAGAACATGCTGAAGTAATTAAAATGAGCACACATTCTGGCAATTTAATAAAACTCCCGAGGCTCCAGTTATGTGAGGAGGTTCACAGTCAACCTAAGTGGAACAACAAGCTAAAACATCTTGGTTATGGTAAAAACCAATCCTTAAATCTGAGAAGCTGACAGTGTATAAACAGGAGCATGGCAATTGGCTTTGCACCTCAATGCTGATCCAGAGAACACTGTACACTGAATACTAGACTTCAGTTGAACATCAGACTTCAATTGTGGAACTCAAGTGCACTGTTGTGCAGGACAAAAAGTCCTAATTCCATCTGATGTAGTTTGATCACTTTTCCCCTTTCTAGTTTAGACTATGAAGTAAGTACCTTAAACATCAAAGAATTCTGTTTTCCCCATTAGCTTCGTGGGATACAACAAGTAGCACATCCTTACAGCAGAGGTTTACAACTCACCTTTGTGTTTTGAGCTAGCTCTAGACCTACAGAGTGTATTAAATTCTATATCCAACCTGCCTATGTCCTTAGACCAACATGGCTACAACCTCTACCCCTAGATCCAGCCTGAGGCACAAGGAAGGCAACTGTTGGGCAACTGATGACTATCACACAGCCCTTGCTTTCGCCCCCTGCCACTGAGGTCTATGCCCACCAGAGCCCCTGATTTTTGTGGCAGGCCACATCCATCACTAGCCATGTTTCTAAATTCCCTGGCCCAGCAGTAGCTGGGTAGGTAGGATGGAGCAGTCTGCATTCAGCCCATATGCTGTAAGTATAACACCCCTGCTCAACAGGAACGAAAGCTGAAGCTTTGTTGTCACCTGAAGTTAGGACACATTCTTTTAAAATCCATCTTGGAAAAGGAATCTATGTGAAATCTTTATCCCTTCATAAATAAAGGTAGGTTGCAACGCTCAACAAAGTAAAAGTTTCACAGTTGCTGCTGGGGAGGTCAGGAAAACCTCAAATGAACAACAATTTTTTTTTTTTTTTAATTCATTTTTCAAAGACACTTTACATGAGCATGAATGACTTCTTCCTCTCCTTGCACTCCATTTGTACATTTACACAGACACACTTTCAGCAAATGGCACAGACAAAAGAAACTCAGTGAAGATGTCAGGAATGCAGCTCAGAAGAATATTTGGAGACAAAAGGAAGCTGAAAGTAAAACAAATACAGGGAGTGAGTAACAAGGTGGCACAAGGGGGAGTTAGATAAGCTTGATCCTGACCCCTAAGATGATTTAAAACAACAGCAACTGTCAACCTGTTTCAAGCCAAGTGTTTATTGCATGGACTTTTAATGAAATGTCACAAACCTCCTAGAACAAGGTTCCTAATGTTTTAACAAAGCATCAGCCACTTAATAGAGACTGTCTGGTGGAACACCTTCCCTCCCATTATTGAAGTTATGGCATTCTTGAGACGACTATTGCAATTAATAGGAAAAGTAATTGTTTTGAAGTATTTTGTGTATGTTAGCTGCTTTTCATTTTGAGACCACAGTATGAGAACTATCATCCAGGAATCAAAAAAAAAAAAAAAAAAAGAAAAAAAGGGATCCCTTCAAAAAGAATCCAGAAAAAAAAAAAAAAGCACAGGAATTGGACCCAAAAGCAAACAGAACATCCACAGCCCTAACCAGGCAGAACGACAAATAACTGAAATGTAATACGTCGTCCTCCACAACTTGCTGCAATCGGGAGGTGGCAGCAGTGCAGGTAAGTACACTCAAACTTGTAGCACTCGAGCTCAGGCTAACAGCTGTGAAGACATTGTTCTATGGCTTGTATAGCCCCACTTGGGACTGAGTTTGTCAGGTGGTACAGACTTTAGTGTGGGCTGATTGCCATGCCTCCACTACTACTGTGACCTGAACTAGCTCTAAACTAACATCGAAAGCTTTTGGCTTCTTAGCAACTCAGAGGTGGCTGCACTAGTTTTGGTCCAAAATTGCCTCTGGATCTGTCAGTCGTCAATTATGAAACTATTTCTGCTTCCCTGGGATGTCCCTAAGCCATTTCCTTTTGATTGCCAATCAACGGCTATCAAATGCTGGTTTCGGGAAGCTAACCTGGTACCCAGGTTATGATCGCACCTTTCAGTATAGTGCAAATGTATACACACTTCTAGTTTTCACAGCCATCATACGACCTCTTGCTCTCAAATCCCTCGCTTGTGAGGGAGAGAGAAAGTCACACTCATAATCTGGAAAGGATGACCGCAATGGAACCATACAGACAGACAAGGTTCCTTGGGTGAATCGGATATCTTTTATTAGACCAACCCAAATAGCTGGAAAATTAATTATTAGGCAAGCTTTCGTTGGAAAATAATACAAACACTGATGCCTGATTAGTGTCTGTAGCAGAGACTGCCTGGGGACATACTACATGGGTGGGGGGGAAGAAAGGTGTTGGGTTTTTTGTTTTGTTTTGGGGGTTTTTCTTGGGAGGTGACTTTTCATGTTCAAAACAAATGGGGAAAGTGCAAAGGTATCACCAGAGGCTAAAATCCCCTCCCCATATTCCTAATGGGCACAGCAGTAGGACCAGCTGTCCATCTTCCACCTTGCAGAGGGTCCCCTTGATGGTCCACAGTGACACAAAATGGTCCATGTTTTGTTGCAAGGTGAAATGTCCAAATTCACATGACACCTCTGGACCAGGAAGTGGAAGAACTGGAGGGTGTCATCGGAGCTGGACCCTGTGAGCTCGTTTCTGTGGCTTTGCAGAGTTGCCATCTTGGCCTGGCCCAGCAGGAAATCAGCCAGGCAGATTGACTTCTCTGAGACAATGTACATCTGATCTATCCCATACCAAACAGCCAAGAGGAGTGCAAAGTCCAGCATGCCAAAGTGTTGAGGACAGCAAAGAGCAACTGCAGCCAGACACGGTCCAGAAAAGGCATGAAAGAGTCTCCTTCACCTCTTCTCAGAAAAGGCAGGCTGCTTATGCCACCGGGTCTTAGTGGCAGACAAAAGTGCCTGTGTCCAGTGCTCTGTGCAGCAGCTGCCATTGGAGGCTGCTAGTTCTCTTGGCGATGGGTAGCTTTGTACAGGGTTCGCCAGGTGAGGCAGGCTTGCTCTGGTGTTGCTGCCACTAGGCACTGCCTTCAATTTATGTTGGGGTGGGCAGTGAGGACATGGGCATGACACTCATTAACTGTCCATGTGTACAGGGAGGTGGAAGGAGAAGAGAAGAAAATAGAGACAGTGTAGGAAGAGAGAGAAAGCAATAAAAGGAAGGGAAAATGGAAACGAAGATGAAAGGAAGGAGTATGACTCCTTCAGGAAAAAAAAAATGCATCCAGCATCAACTGAGAGAAATGGCTAAACTAGCTCGTGGTTATAAGGAGACATGCATGCACAAAGCGCTGCTTCCTGCATCTATTGATTGTAGCTATAAGCCTTACCAAATTATGCTGTGACTTGTTTATAGTCCCAGGAAACTTGAGAAATGAATAAATAATATGGCACAAGTGAAACTGGCTGTTTATCCTGGTCATTCAGGATAACATGATACTTCTCAAGAAAGAGGGTCTTAGTCAAACCTCTTTTGTTCATTTAAACTACAGGCATATTTCTAGATGAGCAGACTGTTAATTACCAAAGTATTCCTCAATTTCTATCATTACTACACATACAATAACTATACGTAAGAGTGTTGCACTATTACTGTATTTGTAAATGCTTTATAAAGAATGAAAGAATTGCTGGAAGATCAGATTAACAATCCACCTGATCTGCCAGGACATCTGCTTGGCTAGGAGAAACACTGTTGACATTTTATAGCCAACTGACCAGGATCTGAAAGTTGTGTGACTTCAGTCCGCTGGTAGCATCATTAGTTTAATCAATGGTTTGACTACTTGCAGAAGGTGCGACGAGGATGCTGATGCTTTGCTTAAAATGGTGCCTCAAACCAAATATCTCAATGACTGTCTCAAGTGTTTTCCATCTGCATAATGCTGGAGCTAATTGTGAGCTCACTATCACTTTGAACAATCAGCCTCTCAAATCTGAAACCCACCCAGTTTTATTTTGGAGTCCCCCTCAACTAAACTCTTAACTTTATAAATCACATCTCCATAAAACTGCTTTAAAAATCAAAACAAGGAATAACCTACTTGCCAAACTTGCAGGTTCCACTTGGGGTGCTAATGCCTCCATGCTACACTCATCTGCTCTCGCACTGTTCAGTTGCACAATACTGTGCCCCGTATGGGCTCATTCATCACACGGCAAATAAGTAGACGTCCAACTGCATGCTACAACACGTCTTGTGTCAGGCACATTGTGCCCCATTCCACTCCCATGGTTACTAGTACTCGGTAACATTGCTTCCCCTCATTTCCGCCATACAAACGCAGAAGTAAACTTACTAGCCAGACTCTGGGATAACCCTATGTTGCCAGCGCACTGGGACATATTCCACCCACCAATAGCTTGGCCCCCCTCAAGATGCCCAATATGGTCCATCCTTTCAAAATCCTTTGAC